TTGAGGGTGACTCCAAATCCAGACCTCCATGGGTTGATACATTTGATTTCCATTGATAATTTGTGTGTGATTTTGTTGTCAGGCAGCACATTCAACTATGTAAAGAAAAAAGTATTTAATAATATTATTTCATTCATTCAGATCTAGGATGTGTTGTTTAAGTGTTCCCTTTATTTTTTTGAGCAGCGTATATAATTTAGTAATTACTGTAAATATAAATCCACACGGGAATGATTTCTTTAGTCAAGCAGTCACCTTTTATTTATTTTCCATGGTGCACCTGTCTGATTTGCGCCTGTCTATTCCATTGCGGAGGCCACAGGGATGGCACAATCCATCACTCTAAGACATGTGATACTGAAATTGTATATGGTTATATTATGTAAAAATATTGGTGCAACACAAATAAATCGAATATTATTTTATAACAAATGCGCTTTCTCATGCGTTGGAAATGGTCGCTGTCCGCGGTTCTGAAACATAATATTCAATGCACCGTAGAATTGGCGCCTTTCCCTATGTTTCTATGTGCATAATAGCTAAATTAACCAGAATATTGGGATTGAGAACAATGCGGCAGAGGCCACAGCAGCAGAGACGAGGAAACAGCCTTTGCCTTAAACCCTATTCGGACAGGATTAGTTTTACTGGGGGTGCTCGGGTAATGTAATTATGTGCACAAACACAAAACACCATATCTGTAATTGTAGCCCCATTCGAATCTGCCATGTCAGTAATTTGTATATGGCAGGAGTGTAACAATTCCAGCCAGAATAACCTACTGTTTGGCGAACTCCAAGGACCTCTGATAATACTAGTCCCGTGCGAATCGACATCCCTGTGTTTTGAGAGAAATGTCTGAGTTTGACAGGTGTTGACATTATATACTTTTTTGGAGCGGTATGAGCAAGAAAACAATAACTGATTGGATAAATTGAATGAAGTGCTGCCCATAGCCTATATATGAAGGGCCTACATGTATCAACTTTCACAGTGAATGCTTTTGTTAATATGTTTTGTGCGTATTAATTGAATATTGCCAAATGCATCAGTAAAAAATATTGCGCCTATTTAATGTAACCCTTGCTGTTAATAGATTGAAATGATAAGTTCACTTTCGCATCCATAGCCTTAAAACGCATCTCAAGTGCAAGTGCACTGTTTAGCTCACATCTGAAGGCTGTGGGGCATTTAGGACGTCTACTGCGGATCGCTAAAATATCCTAATGATTATGATCACACTTCCTCAATTCTAATATTATGGCGACACCATACCAAAGATGGTTTGGTTTGGTTTAGAAACTTGGTAAACCAAGCTCGAGTTATCAGTGTAGCCCTGTTACCGCCTGGACTTGTTTAAATATATTCTCGCCTAGAAAAAAAACCCTCCAGGCTTCTGTCATAACTGTCAATTTATTGGAAAAAAATAAAGAATTACAGGGGGCAGTTTGGAAAAAACTAATCCGTATCGTCCTCTGGAATAACAGACATTCTGGGGTAATAATTACATAACCAACGTTCTCTAGAAATACTAGTCCCGTGCGAATAGGGTTTAGCATAATTGTCTAAGAAAATTGAGGATAGAGCAAACCCCAATGTATTATGTCTATAATCAATAGCCTAACTGTTAAATGTGCCTGGCTTAATAAATTATCCATATATATCTACAGAAATAAGACAGATCTTGCTTCTGTTGCCTGTTTGAGTGTTTGTTTAATAGCCTACTGATTCTGTGAACACCAAGCCTCATGCAACGGCAAAATGTTGGATAAAGCAATTTCACAGATTTGGCTGTTTTTAATCTTTGCAATGCTGTAATAAAGGCTTTTTTTTATTTATTTTTTATCGTTTGAACAGACTGGTATTACTTATAATTTATTTAGTGTTGTTTACACTGTTCCAAACAAGCAGAAAAATAATATTGTAATCTAACAGCACCTGTTTGTCACACATAATTATGTGGCAGGTAGCTTAGTGGTTAAGAGCGTTGTGCCAGTAACCGAAAGGTCGCTGGTTCTAATCCCAGAGCCGACTAAGTGAAAAATCTGTCGATGTGCCCTTGAGCAAGGCACTTAACCCTAATTTCTCCTGTAATTCGCTCTGGATAAGAGCGTCTGCTAAAAATGTAAAAATAATATGCACGCAGGTCTCACTCCTTTTTCTTGATCTCCATCTTATTGTTATTATTACAATTATTATTATTATCATCATTATAATAATAAGTAATGTCGTTATCATTAGTAGGCTTTGTATAGTAGCCTTGTATAACCACCATCAAGCTGTAGGCCTAAGAGCGCCTCCTGTTTAGTCTTAATACCGTAACTTACTTAGGCCTATATTTAAATATATACAGTAGGCTACTGTATCAATCAATCAATCATTCATTCCTTCATGCCATCACACAGCATACAATACATTCATGCTTTGAAATGCGATCAAGCATTTTAGTTTTAAAATTAAATAACAAAGGGAGCTTTGAATAATTAGCCTAAACAATAAATCAACCGCAATTCACGAATGCATGCAACTGTTTTTTAGTTTGCTGTAATAAAGGCTTTATATATTTTTTTTCCGTTAGAACAGACTCTCTGGCACACTTGTTTATTTAGTGTTATTTACACTGTTCCAAATGGTCCGAAAAATAATAATATTGTGATCTAACAGCAACTGTTTGGCACACATAATACTCACGCAATGCTTGCTCCTATACCCTATCTCCAGTATTTTCCACAACTAAGTCAAATGTCTTCCACAGATCTGACTTCCCCTTTCCCTCCTGAGCAACCAGTAAACATTAGCCCGTTTTGAGTTTCTTTTTAACGTCCTCCGCATCCATTTTACTGTCAACATTACTGTGTTCGGAGTTTGTTATAACCAATTTATTGATGTGATTATGATAGGCTATAGGTCAGGCCCAATTGGTCACATGCATGCAATGTTTATGTTTAACGTAAAGAGAGCAAGGGTTGAGGGAATAGGGAATGTTTTCCCTAAACAAATTAGGGATTTTCAGTCAGAAACAAGTAAGAAACTAAATGGCTGAAATGATGTTGCAGCTTCAGCACGGACAGCACAATAAACACTTGCTGTGCTGTGGTGCCTTTTCGCTGCAGTAGGGAGGAGAGCGAGACAATGTGCGCCAGTAACACAGACACTCGCTGTCCTTTTTTTTAACACATTGTGACCATCGGGCTTAATTATTTAATCAAACAGTGTGCTTAAAGCATCAGACAAGCTCAGTGCAGATGTAGTTGTTTTTATTCAAACACATAGGATGTGTCTGTCTATATATGGAAAAATACGTTTCAACATTTCGACCAATCGATTGGTCGAAAGAACAGGACGACTCTTTTTTTAGTCGGGGACAGCCCTAGCAGTTGAATGAGCTCATCTACCTATCTAATTTATTTCTATACTTTCCTTTATAGGCCATTACAGTACTGTACCACCTGATCTCCACAGTTCCAAAGTGTGGTTTTCCCACAAACCATTTCCTTTGTTTCTACAGCCTCTCTCAGGGGGCTCAAGGGGCTCTGTGTGCGTGAGTGTCTGTCTGTGTGGCTGAGAGAGAGAGAAGAGGGGGATATTGTATAGAGGGAAATAGAATAGTGACAGTAGCTCTTTCTCTATACCTGCCTTACTGATCTTTCCCTTTGTGCTCTCTCCCCTAGGCTCTAGACATAGACCGAGGAGTACTTTACAAGATCAAGAAGTCTGTCAAGGCCATAAACAACACTGGCCTGGGTGAGTACAGCACAACACAGCATAGCATAGTACAGTACAGAACAGTACAGCTCTGTACTTTACAATATAATATAGTAGGCCTACAGTATTATACAATACAGTACAGTGAGTCAGTCCTGGTATAAACTTTCATATACTGTATACTATTATAGCGTCTATATCACTACACCCACTCAAGTTTCACACCTTTTTGTTTACGTGCTAACCTCTGCACTCTCCAGTTATTACACAGTAATCTCTTGTACTATTCAGTGTTTGCTGCAGCACCCTCTTGTTTTCATTTACCTCTCAATGCTTCTTAAACTACAATACACTTTACTGTATTGTCACGGAGACATATTGGAGCGGTAGCAGTGTTTTACCTACCATTGAACATTTTGATCTCAGAGGATCTGGATGTTGCTTTGGGGGCCTTCACACCCCGCCTGGAAATTAAACAATGGGAAAGAAACTGGGTTACAGTAAGTGGGTGAGTTCTGTGTCGAGAAAGGTGAAGTGTAACCTCGAAAGAGAGAGAAAGAGAGAGAAAGGCAGAGAATGAGAGGGATATCACCTCTCCACATTCCTCCTATTCCACACACCTGTCCCAGCAGGCCTAAGGAACAGAGGTGTTGCTCTTGTAACTCCTTCCTATAATACGGTATACTAAACGTCCCTAGACCCAGGCCTTTTCTCTTCACCCTCCACCCAGTCCACAGACCTTCCAGTGTTGTCCCAGACCCGAGTCATAATCCTGGGGTGTTTTTGATACGGATCAGGGGCTGGTAATCATGGCTCTAATCAAGTGGGATCTGCACATGCTGGAAATACCTGAACGCTTGCTTTGGTTTGGAGCTGCTGTATAAACTAAGCTCTGAGTTTGTTACACACACTTTGCACATCCTTACATACTGTTCATTGTTATGAAGAGGCCGTGTGAGAATCGCTTCATTAGCCTGGTCCCGGATCTGTTTGTGCTGTCTTGACAACTCCTATGGTCAATTACCTTCCTCAAGCTTATTGGTGATTATTCATAGACAAAGCTTTGCCATTTTACAGGTCAGGTCAACTTAGAAACATGGACCTAATGTCCACTAAAAAGGCACACTAACTCCATAGGATTGCATAGCATAGAAGATAATATGAATATAGGAGTCTGTGTAGAGCCTCTTTTATTGTTTTTTAATTATGTAAAGTGTGTTGTGATGACCCATTACTTAAACTCTGGTTTGACTTGACTACTGACTGTAAGTGACCGCTGTGTGTGTTTCCCAGCCCACTTTGACAATGAAGAACAGTACATCCAGGCTATAGAGAAGTTCGGGGAAAACTGTGTCTGCAGAGAGGACCCTGAGGTGGGCTCAGCCTTCCTCAATTTTGCCGTCTTTACCAAAGAGCTCACAGCCCTCTTCAAGAACCTGGTGAGACCCCACCACACACACACACACACACACACACACACACACACACACACACACACACACACACACACACACACAGTGCTATCCACTGTCACATACTGTGTCTCTACCTCCTTTCTTTCTCCACCTCTCAAATACCTCCATTGTGGCCCCTGTTTTTCTCTTATTCATCTTTTTATCTGCCCTTTCCTTTTGCCTGTCGCAACCATTCGTGTGGAGTGTACACTTTTGAAGATATCTAGACCTAGTCAGGACTATGTAACAGGCAGAACTTGCCTTTTTAAGACATTGGGCAAGAAGAGGTTGAGGGCTCAGTTGCTCATTTCATAGTGTGAATTATTAGCGTTTCCTTCACACCTTGTCGTAAACTCGAATGATGTGTGACTTGTGAAGTGTTTAAGCTTCTTGACATTTCACTCTAACTCTGTCTGTCTGTCCGCCGTCTGTCTGTCTGTCCGCCCATCTGTCTGTCTGTCTGTCCGCTCGTCTGTCTGTCTGTTGTTTGCAGTTGCAGAACATGAACAACATCATCACCTTCCCCTTAGACAGTCTACTGAAAGGAGACCTGAAAGGGGTCAAAGGGGTAGGTGTATTATATGTGTTATTAAATGTTATCAATTACAGTGTTTTACCATAACCATACCAGTCAGAACAAGAGGTAGGGAGTAGGCCTGTCCCATACTAGTCATTTTGAACACACATACAGTGCATTCAGAAAGTATTCAGACCCCTTGACTTTTTCCACATTTTGTTACATTATAACCTTATTCTAAAATTGATTAAATTGTTTGTTTACCTCATCAATCTACACACAATACCCCATAATGACAAAGCAAAAACAGGTTTTTAGAAATGTTTGCTAATTTATTACAAATACAAAACGGAAATATTACATTTACATAAGTATTCATACCCTTTACTCAGTACTTTGTTGAAGCACCTTTGGCAGCGATTACAGCCTTGAGTCTTCTTGGGCATGACACTACAAGCTTGGCACACCTGTATTTGGGGAGTTTCTCCTATTCTTCTCTGCAGATCCTCTCAAACTCTGTCAGGTTAGATGGGGTTTTCAGGTCTCTCCAGAGATGTTCAATCGGGTTCAAGTCCGGGCTCTGGCTGGGCCACTCAAGGACATTCAGAGACTTGTCCCAAAACCACTCCTGTGTTGTCTTGGCTGTGTGCTTAGGGTCGTTGTCCTGTTGGAAGGTGAACCTTCACCCCAGTCTGAGGTCCTGAGCGCTCTGGAGCAGGTTTTCATCAAGGATCTCTCTGTACTTTGCTCCGTTCATCTTTCCCTCAATCCTGACTAGTCTCCCAGTCCCTGCCGTTGAAAAACATCCCCACAGCATGATGCTGCCACCACCATGCTTCACCGTACGAATGGTGCCAGGTTTCCTCCAGATGTGACGCTTGGCATTCAGGCTAAAGAGTTCAATCTTGATTAATCAGACCAGATAATCTTATTTCTCATGGTCTGAGAGTCCTTTAGGTGCCTTTTGGCAAACTCCAAGCGGGCTGTCATGTGCTTTTTACTGAGGAGTGGCTTCCGTCTGGCCACTCTACCATAAAGGCCTGATTGGTGGAGTGCTGCAGAGATGGTTGTCCTTCTGGAAGTTACTCCCATCTCCACAGAGGAACTCTAGAGCTCTGTCAGAGTGACCATCGGGTTCTTGGTCACCTCCCTGACCAAGGCCCTTCTCCCCCAATTGCTCAGTTTGGCCGGGCAGACAGCTCTAGGAAGAGTGTTGGTGATTCAAAACGTCTTCCATTTAAGAATGATGGAGGCCACTGTGTTCTTGGGGACCTTCAATGCTGCAGACATTTTTTGGTACCCTTCCCCAGATCTGTGCCTCGACACAGTCCTGTTTCGGAGCTCTATGGAAAATTCCTTCAACCTCATGGCTTGGTGTTTGGTCTGACATGCACTGTCAACTGTGGGACCTTATATAGACAGGTGTGTGCCTTTCCAAATCATGTCCAATCAATTGAATTTACCACAGGTGGACTCCAATCAAGTTGTAAAAACATCTCAAGGATGATCAATGAAAACAGGATGCACCTGAGCTCAATTTCGAGTCTCATAGCAAAGGGTCTGAATACTTAGGTAAGTAAGGTATTTCAGTTTTTTATTTTTAATACATTTGCTAAAATTTCTAAAAACCTGTTTTCGCTTTGTCATTATGGGGTATTGTGTGTAGATTGATGAGGGTGAAAAACAATTTAATCAATTTTAGAATAAGCCTGTAAAGTTACAAAATGTGGAAAAAGTCAAGGGGTCTGAATACTTTCCAAATGCACTGTAGCCACAGGATAGTCCTCCTAATTCCTATCCCTAGCCATTTAAGGAATGCCTTGTAAATTACTTACTGAGCGAAGTCCATGTGACTGACTTTTACCCTTTAATATAAATCACAGTTTATATACAGTTTAATATTCATGACTTAAACTAATATCAAGTGTGTCTCTCCCTTGTAATAATACTGTCATGTTCCTTTTCAACAGGATCTGAAAAAGCCTTTTGATAAAGCCTGGAAGGATTACGAAACTAAACTGTGAGTTAGAGCCATTTTATTATCACAAGTTACAGCGCCCTACGTTTTACCACCACCACTGCAGCAGTTTGAGTTTCAAAACAAAAGCACCACCACTTGATATGTGTGGGTTAAGCCTAAGTTAGTGATTATAGCTTACGAGCACAAGGAAAACATGTGGTCAAGGGGGGGGGGGGAGCATAAGCTGCCAGCACGATGAAGTTGCATGTGTGGGTTCAGCTTAACGACAAATAGAAAGGCAAAACAATGGAAGGTAGTAAAAGGTCAACTGCTGCTATTCCTAAAACAGCTGACAGACAGACCCTTAGGAGAGAGAGAATGAGACTAGGCCTACTATAGCCACACCTGCTTCCTGTTTGTATGTGAATACAAAACACTTCACGTTTTTTGTGAACACTGACTCTGTCCGTCTGAGATTCCTTTAGTGCTAAATTAACTACGGTATGGACAGACAAGGGTTTTACTTTACTGCAATTGTACATGTCCCTAGTCCGTACATCATCTTTTCATTTTCACCATGACAGGCATGAAAGACATGTTTTGAAAGCTTATGATGAGTTACTTAACATAGGTAGAGATCATTCTAGTTCACTGTATGAGGGCTGGGCAGGTCATTTAAGAGTTAATAGTTTAATAAAGATGAATGCCTTTTTCAAACAAACTCCTGTGGCGGAGTCATAGAGCCTTTGGGTTGACGTGAGTGACCATGGTGGTTCGATTTGATGACTCACTGTAAGGGAATGAGAATGGTGTAATAACTCTTAACATAAACTGATGAGAGTAAATATTGATATCATGTGCAGCTGCATGCTATCAGTTAATTAATTAAGGATTTTCCTTCTTCATCCATTCATCCTGTGCTTCATCATCATCATCATCATCATCACTGTGACCTCGGTGTTCCCTGCAGCACTAAGATAGAGAAGGAGAAGAAGGAGCATGCTAAGCAGCATGGGATGATACGGACAGAGTTCAGTGGAGGAGAGATCGCTGAGGAGATGGAGAAGGAGAGACGCCTCTTCCAGCTCCAGATGTGCGAGGTGAGAGGGTGTGTACCACTGGCCAGGTCCTAGTTCTGTTTCGCTGACATCACAATGATCATGGGTGTTGGCTATAATGTGATGGACGTGACTGTGCTTGCTTAACAGTAGAGCTTCCTTCAGTGTCCCTGTCCCCTTACTGGGCTTGACAAGTGATCCTATATTTTCATTAACCTTTTTCAGTCATTTAGCAGGCGCTCTTATCCAGAGCAGCTTACAGTTAGTGCATGCATCTTAAGATAGCTAGGTGGGACAACCACATGTCACAGTCATAGTAAATACATTTTTCCTCAATAAAGTAGCTATCAGCAAAGTCAGTTCTAGTAAGACCAGTGTGAGTGTTAGTTCAAGAAAGACAAGGGTGTTGTGCAACATCTTAGTTAGTTGTGCCACCGAAAAGGGACCAATTCAGTAGCGCGAGTGGAGACATTTCAACCTGGGGAGTGAGGTTACGGTACGATCTAACTCAATTACGTATAAAGTACAGCACAAACTGATCTGGGATCAGGCCAGTGCACCACCTCATCCTACCTCTCAGAGGCCATTACTACTCTTCTACTAACTGTGTTATTCTGTCTCCAGTATCTTCTAAAAGTGAATGAAATCGAAACGAAAAAGGGGGTCAACTTTCTCCAGAACCTCATCAAATATTTCCACGCCCAGTGCAAGTATGTCATTTTCATTTATTTTGTGATTTCATATGATCAATGTTTAATTATTGGCTTTGTCTTTTGTTGGAGGCCAAATGCTTGACCCATCTTGAAAATTCCTGTTCTGTGTTTGTTTGTTTCCTCTCTCCTCACAGCTTCTTCCAGGATGGGCTAAACGCAGTGAATAGCCTCAGACCTTCCATAGAGAAGCTGGCGACAGACTTGATTACAGTGAGCCACTCTGTCCACCTCTATCTTTATCCTTTCCTGGTTTAATGCATACACTGAATTTCTCACCCAATGCTTGATTAGCATTTTCCAAACAATGTTTGCCCAATGCTTGTTCAAAGTTTATATAGTGTCCGTTTGAGTGATCCCAGGCCAGCAGGCAGTTCCAACACTGCTTTATAAAAAAGAGATGGAATGTTTTATTTTCATTTCCTTGAACTGTTCTGTCAGCGCTTGTCTGAGTGTTTGGGTTGATTGTGCTGAAGTGTGTCTGAGTTGGTCTTAGAGGGGCTTTCTCTCTATCTCTGAGGTTGCTTCACAAATGGCACACTATTCCCTAATTAGTGCACTTCTTTTGACCAGGGCCCATAGGGCTTCTGTTAAAAGTAGTGCACTGTTTAGGGAAGGGCCCTAAACAAAAATATAGGGAAGAGGGTGTCATTTGAGATGCATCCATTTTCTTATATTTTCTTTGGTAGTTGCCGTGGTTTCACTGCCTGTCTGTCAATAATGTGTCTCTCAACTCTTCCACATCCTGTTTCTCAGATCAAACAGACCCAAGATGGAGAGAGGAAACAGCTGAGTCAGCTCAGAGATGTTCTCAAGTCCTCCCTACAATCTGAACAGAAAGAGGTGAGCTCTCAATTACTGGAGTAAGAAGTGGCGGTGTTTTAGAATCACACTCTCGTGATGAGGTAGCCCTGCCTGCGGCTTAAAACCAGTGTCACCTTTGGCCCAAGAGGGAATTTCCTCTTGGTCTTAGTGGGAGACCAGTGTTCAGATCCCACTAGTTACATAAGCTTGGTAGCAGAGAGGAAGGGACCTAATCCAATTACTTGTATCAATCATTTCTCCAGACCAGTTATAGTACACATACTGTAATTTATTTTGTCTTACCTGGCTTGTCATAGCAAAATAGGAAAAGCCACTAGTTCTACCTTAACAAGCCTGTAGTCTACTACAGGATTATAGATGACTGGTCTTATGTGTTGTGTTACTTGGCTCGTGACTTACAGTTACAATGCAATAGACAGATAATGGTAACCACCAGTGGCTAGGAGAGTGAATGTGTTCTTTGTTGGTGAACTTTTGCTCTTTCACCAATCAAGCCTTTTTTTCTCTCCTTGAACCTCCATTTTGCTGGAATCATTGTCTGAGTTCCAAATTGCACCCTATTACCTATATAGTGCACTACTTTTGACCAAGGGCCCATATGGATCTGCACTATGTAGGTAGTATGGTGACATTTGGGAGGGACGCAGCCATAATCAATATTCTTAAGCACAGAGAGGATTTGAAGGGAATAAAAACAGCTTCCAGACAGTTAAATGTCAGGCTTGGCAGCACACTGGTCTGACGTTCTGTAATCTCTTCAGAATGCACTGTGTTTACTCTGCTCAAGCCCTCCATGAAAATCTCTATGACTTCCAGAGTCACAAACTCTATTTGAATACAGCGAAATAAGGCTGAGGCTCTCTTACTGAAGCAATGCTCCAAGGTGTTCACCTACACTGCTCGAATAAATAATGCCATGTAGAACCAAAAGGTGTTCAATGGCCTGCTTCATATATGGCCCTCAGCTTCAAAGTAGAGTAGAGTAGGCCTTCAGAAGAGGATGCTGAAGAAACTTGATTTGGATGACTGTCTGAGCATTGAGAGAAGTGAGACTTATATATTTGTTCTGTGTGTGTTTGTGTGTGTGCGTGTGCACGTGTGTGTGTGTTCCTGTGTATTAGGACTCCCAGGCCAAACAGACAGGATACAGCCTTCATCAGCTCCAAGGGAATAAGGCCTACGGCACGGAATACAGTGGAATTCTGTATAAGAGGAGTGAGGGGTGAGTGGATGACCAATATAGCATCTGGTCACATGCTAGAACAGCTGTTTATTTCCCCGCCAAAGGCAGGGAAATTTAGTTTGACTCGCAGTGGTGGGGAACCCTGTCACGATCGTCATTAGAGGCAGACCAAGGCGCAGCGTGAGAAGCGTACATCTTTATTACTTGTACACACGAACAAACCAAAACAATAAACGATACGTGAAGTCCTAGGTTAAATACACAAACCTTCCGGAACAAGATCCCACAAATGACAAGTGCAAAACAGGCTGCCTAAGTATGGTCCCCAATCAGAGACAACGAGCCACAGCTGTCTCTAATTGGGAACCACCCTGGCCAACATAGAAATAAACGCTCTAGAAAGAAACACATAGAAAACAAAACATAGACACTACACACCCTGGCTCAACATTTAAGAGTCCCCAGAGCCAGGGTGTGACAGTACCCCCCCCCAAAGGCGCGGACTGCGACCGCGCCACACAAACTCAAGAGGGTAGGGGCTGGGTAGGCATTCCGCCTCGGAGGCGGATCCGGCTCCGGGCGTGACCACCACTCTCTCGCTACCCCCCCCCCCCGTAGCGCCCCTGGTCTGGTCCCGCTGGCTGGAGCTGGACTGGACATCGGTGGAGCAGATTGCTTAGGCTCCGGTGTGGAGCAGCTGACCGGTACCTGACCAGGCACCGGTGAAACAGGCAAGGGCTGTGCCGGACTGACGACGCGCACCACAGGCTTGGTGCGGGGAGCAGGAATGGGCCGGACCGGGCTGACGACGCGCACTACTGGCTTGGTGCGGGGAGCAGGAACAGGCCGGACCGGGCTGGCGACGCGCACCACTGGCTTGGTGCGGGGAGCAGGAACAGGCCGGACCGGGCTGGCGACGCGCACCACTGGCTTGGTGCGGGGAGCAGGAACAGGCCGGACCGGGCTGGCGACGCGCACCACAGGCTTGGTGCGAGGGACAGGAACTGGCCAGACCGGGCTGGCGACGCGCACCACAGGCTTAGTGCGAGGGACAGGAACAGGCCGGGCCGGGCTGGCGACGCGCACCACAGGCTTGGTGCGAGGGGCAGGAACAGGCCGGGCCGGGCTGGCGACGCGCACCACAGGCTTGGTGCGAGGGGCAGGAACAGGCCGGGTCGGGCTGGCGACGCGCACCACAGGCTTGGTGCGAGGGGCAGGAACAGGCCGGGCCGGGCTGGCGACGCGCACCACAGGCTTGGTGCGAGGGTAGGAACAGGCCGGGCCGGGCTGGCAACGCGCACCACTGGCTTGGTGCGAGGGGCAGGAACAGGCCGGCCTGGACTGGGAACATGCACCACTAACTTAGTGCGGGGAGCAGGAACGGGTTGGGCCGTACTGGGAACACGCACCACTAACTTAGTGCGGGAGCAGGAACTGGTTGGGCCGTACTGGGAACACGCACCACTAACTTAGTGCGGGGAGCAGGAACGGGTTGGGCCGGACTGGGAACACGCACCACTAACTTAGTGCGGGGAGCGGGAACGGGTCGGGCTGGGAACACGCACCACTAACTTAGTGCGGGGAGCAGGAACGGGTTGGGCCGTACTGGGAACACGCACCACTAACTTAGTGCGGGGAGCAGGAACGGGCCTGACCGTACTGGGAACACACACCACTGGCCTTGTGCGGGAATCAGGAACGGGTTGGGCCGTACTGGGAACACGCACCACTAACTTAGTGCGGGAGCAGGAACTGGTTGGGCCGTACTGGGAACACGCACCACTAACTTAGTGCGGGGAGCAGGAATGGGTCGGGCCGGACTGGGAACACGCACCACTAACTTAGTGCGGGGAACGGGTCGGGCCGGACTGGGAAAACGCACCACTAACTTAGTGCGGGGAGCAGGAACGGGTTGGGCCGGACTGGGAACACGCACCACTAACTTAGTGCGGGGAGCGGGAACGGGTCGGGCTGGGAACACGCACCACTAACTTAGTGCGGGGAGCAGGAAAGGGTTGGGCCGTACTGGGAACACGCACCACTAACTTAGTGCGGGGAGCAGGAACGGGCCTGACCGTACTGGGAACACACACCACTGGCCTTGTGCGGGAATCAGGAACGGGCCGGACCAGACTGGTGACACACACCACTTGCTTGGTGCGAGGAGCGGGACTGGGTTTCCTCATAAACCTCCGCTCCCTCTGCTGCCTACTCAGTTCCTCTCGCCGTGCCTCCACACTCTCCTTCTCCCTCCTGACCAATGGCCCCCGTAACCTGGTGGCCTTCTCTCCTAGTCCACAATCTCGCCCTGTAGCTGCCTCCAGCAGCCCCGTCGTCCATGCCGTGTGCCCCCCGCAAAAAATGTCTTGGGGTTGCCTCTCGCCTGTCCGACGACGACACTGTTGGCACTGTACCTCCTCTCTCGCCAGGGCTTTAACTTTAGCCCATGGCCCTTTGCCCCGCGAACATGTCCTCCCAGGACCACCATTGGCCCACCTGGGCCATCGCCAACCTCTCCAGCTCCTTACCCGGCGTTTGCTCCTGCACACGCTGCTTGGTCCTTGTATGGTGGGATCTTCTGTCACGATCGTCATAAGAGGCAGACCAAGGCGCAGCGTGAGAAGCGTATATCTTTATTACGCTTACACACGAACAAACCAAAACAATAAACGATACGTGAAGTCCTAGGTTAAATACACAAACCTTCCGGAACAAGATCCCACAAATGACAAGTGCAAAACAGGCTGCCTAAGTATGGTTCCCAATCAGAGACAACGAGCCACAGCTGTCTCTAATTGGGAACCACCCTGGCCAACATAGAAATAAACGATCTAGAAAGAAACACATAGAAAACAAAACATAGACACTACACACCCTGGCTCAACATTTAAGAGTCCCCAGAGCCAGGGCGTGACAAACCCACTGTGGACACTGCGTCGGAACCTTGCACTAACGTTTTACTCGCAGCGATGTGGTGATATGATGGCCTCTGGGCATACATGATTACATTTGCTGCTCAGGAAATGGTGTGGTTGAAGATGTGGATTTGTCATCTAGGACAGGGTTTCCCAAACTCGGTCCTGGACCCCCCACCCCAGTGTCATAATGAATATTGTCTCTCCCTTCTCTTCTTCAGCCTGAGGAAAGTGTGGCAGAAGAGGAAGTGTTCTGTGAAGAACGGGTTCCTGACCATCTCCCATGG